CAGTAATAGCTAGCAAGAACTATAATAGACAACATATTATTGACCTTATGGCTCTTACAGATATTACTAAATCTAAAAATGATAAGTATGGACAAAAAAATCATTTTCTTTGGATTAAAAATATAAATAGACTACTTTTCAAAGATACTGCTCATCATGGTAAAAGATATATTTGTAAAAAATGTACTATAAGCTGGCCATCAGAAAAATCTTTAGCCTATCATCAAAAGCACTGTTTCAGTTTAGAAGAAGCAACCCAAAGAGTTAAATTATCTATCAAAGATGATAATGACTTTGAGAAGTTTAAGAACTATGGACGAATGATCAATGCTCTATGTGTTATTATAGCTGACTTTGAGGCTGATAATAAGAAATGCAATGAGAAATATGGAGGGCAAATATGAAAGCTTGCTGAACAAAAAGCCAATAGCTTTTGCTACTTGGTTTACTGGATCGATACTGGAAATGTATGGGGCCCATTCCTATATAGAGGAGAAAATGCTACTCAGGAATTTGTCAAAAGAATTGATAAGAAATTAGTTCAAATTAATACAGTCTTAGCTATAAAGCATGACTGAATTGAGACTGAAGAAGACAAGAAAAAAATTGCTAAAACAAATACCTGCTAGATATGTAAAAATAAATTCGATAGAAATAATAAAGATAAGGTTTCGGTCCATTGTCATATAACAGGTAAGTTTCGAGGACCTGCTCACAATGCTTGCAATCTCAAACTTTAGATTGAACCATGAAAAACTCCTATTCCAGTTGTCTTTCATAATTTTCGGGGCTATGACTCTCATTTAGTCTGTGAATCTGTTGGGAAATTTGTTAATGCTCATCAGATAAAAGTTATAGCTGAAACATTTGAGCGTTATAAATCTATGAAGGTAGGTCAACTTAAATATATAGATAGTATGCAATTTATGAATAATAGCTTGGCAAATCTTACGAAAAATTTGGGCAACAATTATTCTATTACAAGCCAGCACTTTAAAGACTATTCTTCAGATCAAATTTCATTAGCAAGTCATAAAGGAGTTTATCCTTATGATTATATAGATTCTCAAGAAAGATTTAAGGAAACAGAGCTTCTTTCTATTCATGAGTTTCATAGTATTCTTAAAGGCAAGATTTCACAAGATGACTATCATCATGCCCAAAAAGTATGGAAAACTTTTAGTTGTAAGACTCTAGAAGAGTATCATAATCTCTATCTTAAGATTGATGTACTTAGTCTTGCAGATATTTGGACCCAATTCCGAATAACATGTATGCAGTATTATGAGCTTGATCCTAGTCACTATGTTTCAGCACCTGCATTAGCTTGGGATGCTATGCTTAAGATGACAGGTGTTAAAATAGAGCTCTTTACAGATATGTCTATGTATGATTTTAAAGAAGATGCTAAGCGTAAGGTATAGCTATAGCCTGTAAGCGCTATTTCAAAGCCAATAATCCAAAAATAAGCAAGACATTTGATCCATCTAAACCCACAATATGGATTTCATATATCGATGCAAATAATCTTTACGGCTGGGCTATGAGTCAGTATTTGCTTATTGGAAATTATAAATGGGAGGTAAGTCATAAATATCTTAAGGATAATCCAAATGAGCAAAAAAAATATTTTGAAAAGATTCTTAATACTAAAGCAGATGCTAAAAGAGAATATTTTCTAAAGATTAATACACATTTTTCTCTAAAAACTCATGACTATTTAAGCGATTTATCCCCAGCTGTAGAGAATATAGCTGTAAGTAAAGATATGTTGTGTCCTTATACTACAGAGCTTGTAGATAACTTAGATAGTAGACGTTTCTCAGCTACAGAAAAATTAGTACCTCATCTTGGTCCATGAAAAGAATATGTTATTCATTACTTAGAGCTTCAATACTATGTAAAATTAGGTATGATAGTAGATAAGGTAATAGAAATCTTATCTTTTGATCAAACTAATTGGCTCGCACCCTATATAGTTTTTAATACAGAAAAGCAACAAGGTGCTAAAAATGCTTTTGAAAAAGATTTCTTTAAGCTCATGAATAACTCAGTATATGGCAAAACTATGGAAAATATTCGCAAATACCAAGACGTCAAGCTCATGGCTATGAATAATGAGCAAGACGAAAAGAAATTTATTAATCAGATCCGTAAACCCTCTTTTAAATATGCTAAACAGCTTGGAAATACACTTGTTGGAGCACATATGGGAAAAGCTAGTGTAACTCTTAACAAGCCTATTATTGTCGGAGCATCAGTTCTTGGCCTTAGCAAACTTTTAATATATCACTTCTGGTATAGATATGTAAAAGAAAGATATGGTGATAAAGCCCAGCTTGGATATAAGGATACAGACTCATATTTATTTCAAGTTAAGACTAAGGATATCTATAAGGACATGGCTGAGCGACCAGACCTTTTTGATCTTAATGATTCTAAAACTATTGGGCTTTTTAAAGATGAGACTCCAGGCAATGTGATTACAGAATCTTATCATATTCGGGCTAAATCATATCATTATGTCTTAGCAGATAAGTCTACAAAGTCTAAGCATAAGGGGGTTAGTAAAAAAGGCATAAATGAAATGGCCACAAATTTATACATGCCAGTTTTAGAAGGGTCCTTGCTAGATGATCCGATAGATAGATCATTATTATCAGAGCAAGAAGCTATGCAAACTGAGGTAGATCCTATAACTCTAGTATATCGGGACTGTCTCTTTGATAATTAAGTATTCCATGCTAAGAATGTAAGTATTTGATCAAAAGACCATATATTATCTTTGGTTGAATCAAAAAAGAAGGCTCTTTGCCCTATAGATACTAAGCGTTGGATATTATCTGATAAAATAACTAGTTTGCCATATTGGCATTGGTGTATACAAGCATATAAAAATTTTGTATCAAATGAAATATCTTCAGAGTTGGCTGAACAAAGAGCTTTAAGTGTTAAGCTCTCAAAGAGGTATTAAAATGAATATATATCCTACATATCTATTGCTTCGCAATAATCTATTTATTTGATTTATTATTTATATAAATTATTAATATATATTGCAAAGCAATGACCCTTTGGGTCTAAAGTCAGTAACTGTTATCAAAATGGTTGGATGGTTTTTTAATTCTTAAAATTAATATTATTGTGAAGCAATGGCCCTTCGGGTCTACATTCACATTGCTTATATATGCCAACTGCTATTTTTTTGCATACTTGACAATATAGATGTGAATAGTGATTGCATTCATCACAAATTTTATATCCATGCTTCCACCATTTAAAGATATGCCACTTTTCGATATAATTTTGATCTTTCATTGTTATCAAAATGGAATTGGTGTTCAGTTATAATA